AAAAAACAGGAAATGAAAAATCAAGCCACTAGTCAGTGCACGCATCCTAATCCTTTCCCAACAAGCACGTCTTCAACAACAACCTATAAATTTCCCCAGCGATCTTAATTCTGTTCTCCTCAATTTCCAATTTCTAAATGTATTCTTCACCAAATTGCCTTCACTTCTTAGAACAGTAGTATAGGTTTTGTAAAAGAATTTGGATAAAGAAGGACAAGAAAGGTGACTTGAGTAACAAGAAAGAACATTACATATTGTACTATGCCAATTCAGTGCAGACAAACTCTTGCGGTCAAGCAGTTGCTATTTATTGGACCCAAATGTACCAGAAATTAAGCAGAATAGCCTCTAATGTTAAAAAGGCCCGAGCCCACTGGCCCCCATGACCCACGCTCTGACTCCAGTGGCTGGCACTGAGGACTCCATACACACACACATGCACACAGAATAGAAAAAGTCTCACCCAGGAAAATAGTTAGAAACAGAGTTTAATGAGAAAACAGGACACATCATGCTGATCAGGCACAGGGCATGGCCAGTCATACCAACCGGCCTGTTTATACGCAGTCAGTCCTTTTTATACCCTTATCTCTCAATTTTCCCATATCTATTCCTCCCCAAACCACCTTGGTCCCACCTCTCCCCACCTTTGGTTCCTCCTCTGAACACCCCATAAGTCTTCTATGATTCCAAAATGCTCCTCCCTGCATCCCATAGTAAGTCCCAAACTCTGGCAGGCAGCAACCCTGCCTCAGAGTAGTTGAGTAGTCAATCCCTGACTCCTGGTGCCGGGTGTCCCTGTCCTGGCCCATGGGGCTGAGGCTGGGGACAGACCTGGCAGGAGCCGAGTCGGGGGCTCCACTTCCCAGACTGGGTTATTGGGGTTCCCCTGCCTGCTGCTGTGCCTCTGGGCTCCTTTGCATGCGTGTGTGTGTGTGGAGATGAGCTTTTTATCACACAACTTCACAAAATCTACTCCCGTTTCCTTTTTTCCTCCCTCTCATCCCTCTTTGAAAACATCCTGTATCTCTCTTTTTCCCTTTTTCTTTTTCCCCCCTTTTTTTTTAACAGGGACACAAATACTGGATTTACATTCTTTTATATTACAAGTGATTAATGTACTGATGATTTCCACACCCAATGCCTCATTATTTTGGAAGTGACATCTCAGTGGGCCCTTCTCCAAGGCTTCTCAGACTGTGTTCCAACCGTATGCCTTAAGCAAAATTTTAGTCCCCTCTCTGCTGAACGTGACAGTTTTGCAAGCTTTTATACAGAATATAATCAATATGAACTGTACCCTGTATTGAATTTATCCCCTCATATGTTGCTCACTTCAGAATACCCGTTGAGATCACATATGAAACATCAGTACAAAGGGCAAAGTTGTATCACGTAGAGTTTTAACTACACCGCTTCATCCTGTTCTTAGTTTTATGTGTTTGAGAAATCAGAGTAAATGACTACTTAATGCAATAATGTGTCCCTTTAAAATATTCTGTATTTGACACAGAGCAAATCTTATTTAATACGCTCTCCAAATGCTGCTTTCAATCTCTCATATGCAAAAAGAAAACTGTTCAATATAGTTTTCTCCTATAGTTCATGAATGAAAGCCATCATTTACATTCGTACTCTTTTCCTTGAAGTGTACATCACCATGAAGTGTTTGTGACAGTTAACTTTTAAAATAACCTATGTACTTTTATTCACCTTATTTCTGTGATGAGAGACGTCACAGCAAGGATGGAATAACAATATGGAAACTAACCATCTAATCCAACTGGACACACTTTATTGAAGTCTTACTACTTCCATGTGTAAGAGGAAACTAAAGCCAACTGCAATCCCCAATTTTTGGCATTTTCAGTATGCATTATATCCAGCAAAAGAGAATTTCACTTTTTGTTTTTATTTTTACAGCACAGTGATATTAGACATATGGACTTAACTTGATAGTTTAGAGATTAAATGTTTTAACTGAATAAAAAAAGCAAGGTCTTTATTATGCCTAAAGTAATACTATTCTTTAAAAAGTTGTAATGCTTTGTAAATATTATTCTAATCTCCTTTGCAGTATGAATATTCTTAAAAAAATAACTGGTATCAAAATTTTAGTACAGATGATAAAATCTTCAAGAATGGATATAAAGAGTAATGACAATATGGTTATAACATGGAGTCAAGTCAACCAATTTATATGAAAGAAACTCGCCATGGATAAATTCAATGCTGAAGAGTTATATTCCAATTTATTCTGAGGTAGCAAGTATGATAAATTAACTAATATTTCTCAAGATACAAATACTAGTTTCCTAAAAAATATTAATATAAAGTTATGAGAGCAGCCCTGCCGAGAAGGACTTGGGGGATACTGGTGGATGAAAAGCTGGACATGAGCCAGCAATGTGCGCTCGCAGCCCAGAAGGCCAATGGTATCCTGGGCTGCATCAAAAGAAGCGTGGCCAGCAGGTCGAGGGAGGTGATTCTGCCCCTCTACTCTGCTCTGGTGAGACCCCACCTGGAGTACTGCGTCCAGCTCTGGAGCCCCCAGCATAAAAAAGACATGGACCTGTTGGAGTGGGTCCAGAGGAGGGTCACAAAAATCATCAGGGGGATGGAACACCTCTCCTATGAGGAAAGGCTGAGAGAGCTGGGGTTGTTCAGCCTCAAGAAGAGAAGGCTTTGGGGAGACCATATTGCAGCCTATCAGTACTTAAAGGGGGCTTATAAAACAGATGGCAGCAAACTTCTTAGCAGGGCCTGTTGCGACAG